TCCTCCTAATATAATATTCACCCTGTAACATGGATATATCATAACCAGGGGGGGGGCGCTATCCTCCTCCTAATATAATATTCACCCTGTAACATGGATATATCATAACCGGGGAAGGCACTATCCTCCCTCCCAATATAACATTCTCCCTGTAACATGGATATATCATAATCTAGGAGGGGACTATCCTCCTCCCAATATAATACCACCCCTGTAACATGGATATCATAACCGGGGCACTCATCCTCCTCCACATAATATTCACCCTGTAACATGGATATACTGCAGAACCGGGCCATCCTCCCTCCTAATATAATATCTCACCCCTGTAACATGGATATATCACAACCAGGGCCATCCTCCCACATAATATCCACCCCTGCAAATACGGATATACTCATAAACTAGGCCATCCTCCCAATATAATATTCACCTGTAACATGGATATATCATAACGAGGGGAGGGGACTATCCCTTCTCCCAATATAACATTCACCTGCAACATGGATATATCATAAACAGGGGGGGCTATCCTCCGCCTAATATAATATTCACCCTGTAACATGGATATATCATAACCAGGGGAGGCGGGGGGGCTATCATCCTCATAATATAATATTCACCCTGTAACATGGATATATCATAACCGGGGGGGTGACTATCCTTCTCCTAATATAATATTCACCCTGTAACATAGATATATCATAACCGGGGACTATCCTCCTCCTAATATAATATCCACCCTGTAACATGGATATATCATAACCAGGGGGAGGGGGGCTATCCTCCTCCTAATATAATATTCACCCTGTAACATGGATATATCATAACCGGGGGGGGGGAGGGGACTATCCTCCTCCTAATATAATATTCACCCTGTAACATGGATATATCATAAACAGGGGGGGGGGCTATCCTCCTCCTAATATAATAGTCACTCTGTAACATGGATATATCATAACCCTGTACATAGACACACAAACAGACACGCGCATGCAGAGACACACACACACATGCAAAATATTTTAGTCACCCTCCTATTACCTACCTTTTAGGTGCAGGAGGGTGACTTCCCTGGGGTCCAGTGGCTCAGGTTGATGGGAGTCAGAGTTCCCACTCTGACTCCCTCTCCTTCCTCCCGCGCGGGCTCCTGGTGTTTGCTGGGAGGAGTGACCGCGGCAGTCACTTCCTCCCAGCGTCTGATATCATCAAAGTGGGCCCTGTCGCGCTGTTACCGGCCCACTCTGATGATGATCTTCATTTCCATCGGGTGGCCCATGCTTTTATGGCCCGTTCACCTGCGGCCCTGGCAATTATACTGCGCAACCAGGGCCGCAACACATGGCGGCAGGCACCCGGTCACAGGGGTCCGCAGGGCGGCCGTGCCCCCTGCAGTGACAGGCCCGGTCGTAGCTGCGACCCCTGTGACCGTGGTATGTATGCCACTGATCATAACCTAATATAATATTCACCTTGTAACATGGATACAGTGCCTTGCAAAAGTATTCACCCCCCTCGACTTTTTACATATTTTGTTACATTACAGCCTTAAATTTAATATTTTATGTGATGGATCAGAACACAATAGTCTAAGTTGGTGAAGTGAAATGAGAAAAATATATACATAAAACTATTTTTTTAGAAATAGAAAACAGAAAATTGGCATGTGCATTTGTATTCACCCCCTTTGTTATGAAACCCATAAAAAGCTCTGGTGCAACCAATTACCTTCAGAAGTCACATAATTTGTGAAATGATGTCCACCTATGTGCAATCTAAGTGTCACATGATCTGTCATTACATATACAACCCTTTTTTGAAAGGTCCCACTAACGAGAACTAAACACTGCCATGAAGACCAAGGAACTCTCCAAACAAGTAAGGGACAATGTTGTTGAGAAGTACAAGTCAGGGTTAGGTTATAAATACATATCCAAATCTTTGATGATCCCAAGGAGCACCATCAAATCTATCATAACCAAATGGAAAGAACATGGCACAACAGCAAACCTGCCAAGAGATGGCCTCCCACCAAAACTCACGGACCGGGCAAGGAAGGCATTAATCAGAGGACTCCAAGCACTTCACCAGACACCATCAGCACCGCATTCCCCACATCCAACGTTACAGTTTGGCTGGGAACTAGCCGTCCTCTACCCAACTGGGACCTACGACAAGGCTCCAGGTTCCAGTGTGTGAACCTCTCCTCCAAGAGAGTCAAGTAGGAACAGCTCTTAAAAGAGCTTAGTGATTATAGCCCAGGGGAGTTACTCCCATACAGCGTACACAATCCCTCCCCTCTGCCTGTGATATAATTAACCAAGACAATGGACTAACTCAATTAACTCTAAGCAGAAAAAACATACATGTTTACAAACCCCAAAAAGTACCCCAAAATACAACATACCCCCTGATAGCCCCGATCTGGGTGAACAACATATCCAAAAATCACCCAGATCGGTTCAGGGGTTCAGGAATTTCCTGGAAGTCTTATTTTTGCCCCACCGTGCACATGGTCCCATGCCCAAAACAGTTCCATACGCTCAACGACAAAACACTGATGGACAATTTAAGATGGCCGCTGCCACATGTTTGAATCTGTTCCAGTTAAAAGTCCAAGGGGCAGAAACAGTACTTTTGAACATGGGTTACCACAGGGCCCATAGTTCCAGGGTAGGAGGCTGGCAAACAGGCCCCTACAAAAACCAGTGGCGAAGTTGCTTTCGTCACAGGGGGCTGTGAGAGGGTCGGGGAGCTGTGAGAGGGTAGGGGGACTCTGAGATGGTAAGGGGGGGAGGAGGGGGCTGTGAGGGAAAGGGGCTTTGAGATGGTAGGGGCTGTGAGAGGGTAGAAGAACTGTGAGAGGGTAGGGGGGCTGTGAGATGGTAGGGGCTCCTGGAGGGTAGGGGGCTGTGAGGTGGGTAGGGATGCTGTGAGTGGGTAGGGGGGCTGTAAGGTGAGTAGGTGCTGTAAGGTGAGTAGGTGTGTTTCTGTGAGATGGGTAGTGGGCACTGTGAGGTAACTGGGGGTGTGTGAGGTGGGTTGGGAGGGGGCCATAAGGTGGGTAGGCGGGAAGCTGTAAGATGGGTAGTGGGGGCTGTAAGGTGGGTAGGGGGTCTGTAACTGTGTAGGGGGTCTTTAAGGTGGTTAGGGGGTTTGTAAGGTAGGTAGGGGGGCTGTGAGATGGGTAGGGGGCTGTGAAAAGGTAAGTACCTGGTGGTCCAGTAGGCAGCTTTCCCTGGTGGTCCGGTGGTGCCGAGTGCAGAGCTGCAGACCACATGGTAAGTCTCGCGATCTCCAGTTAGAGAGTTGCTACGGTAACCCGCGGCAGTGCTCTTAATGGCTGGAGATCTCCTGGCAGAGCTGCAGACAGGAGGCTATCACTCCGCCAGGGCAGGCAGTGTGGAGGGGCCCCCTCACAATGTATCCCTTGCATACACACAGAGAAACACACAATGCACATTCCCTTTAATTCTCTCTTTATTGAGTAGATGCTATAATCTGCACTATAATAAGTATGTGGAGATTAATTATGTGATATGGTGGGCCGCCAGTATATCACTGCCATGGACTCCTTTTTCCAAGCTGAAGACCCTCTATCAGACACTGAAAGTGAATATCGCTGGTATAGCATTCCCCCCATGCATTAGTTGAGACTAAACGCTGGGAGTATCTGTTTATTTCAGGCAAGCACTTTAAATTTATACACAGACCCCCAGCAGGGGGTCTCCACAGCAAACTCCTGCCTGTGCCTAAAACTCAGGAAACTTATAACTCAATTATCTCCCATGTACAGAAACATATAACAAATTTTACAACACCCCAAAAGTACCCCCAAAATAAATGGAAACCCCTCAAGAGTCACATCCCCGGATAGTCCTGATCTGAGCGCCTAACATATCCAAAAAGTGCTCAGATCGGTTCGGTGGTTTGGAATAGCCACCAGGGTAAAGTTTTGACCGGCCTGCCACGAGGTAGAAGCCCAAAATAGTTCCAGAGAAATCGTGGCAACTGTCAGTCTACATTCGGGGGTTTTTATACAAAAACCACACAAGATATTCAGCTGCTTTCACATAGAGAATGCTTCCTCAATTCAGCAGTTCATATCTCCCGAACGCTGTTCATATAGGTGGTCAGGAACTTGAACGGGCAGCGGTTTAATCTTCACAGGAGTGCCTTACTGAAATGTTTCAGGCACTCGACGACCAGGTACTGCTGCCTGTGTTCTGGAGACAAAATGGCATTCGGTTGCACGAAATGGTGGCGACCCAGTGGAGCATTTTATTAAAAGTTCCCTTTGCGGTTTCACACTTGATACTTAGTGTTCCACATTCTAATGGGGTGCTGGGGTGATCCTCGTTCAGTAACCGAGTGGGCGGAGATTTGGGGCAGTGGTTGTGGTAAAAGTTCAAGTAAGTAATTGATGGCTGTGCTGCAAAGTGTCCCTGGAAGTTTTTTCAAATGTTGGCAACTACACCAGTGATGGTCCACCACACTACATAATTAATCTTTGCCTACTTATTATGTGCACCAGACCTGGGGGCACAAGATCTGGCTGACCGGCAGGAGGAGAGCACACAGCACAGCGGTCTCTGTGTGTCTCCTCACCTTCATCCAGTAGTGTGGCCGAGTGCGGACCAGGGGAAGAGAAGCTTCACTAACCTCTAC